ACAGACATGGCTATGAGAGGCCACAGGGGAGGTGTATGGCAGTGAAAGTTTTTATCACTTGTGTTTCCCCAAAAAAGGGGTACACCAGGCTGTGCAGGGCTACATGGGGAAGCATTAGCTTTGATGAGGAGCTAAATGGAGTGAGAGGAGATTCTAGCCCAGAACGTTAATTAGCAAGCACAGGGTTTCTTTAGCAAGCACAAGGCAGCGTTGGGTACACAGGTTTTTTTTTTTGTGGAACCAGGGATTGAACTCAGGCCCTTGTGCTTGTCAGGGAAGCACTTATTCCACTGAGCCATCTCCCCGCACCCCCCGCTACACAGTTTATGACTGGTTAATTTGAATACTTTTCAAGGGGTTTGGGCTATAAGAAGTGTTTCTGTTTGTCTGATCATTGACAAGCGTTGATTTAGAGCAGAAGCAATATTAGCTTGCTATGTGAGAAGATAACGGAGACAGGTGGGAAGGCGAGCCAGCTAGTCTGCACAAGAAGGGGGATCTCAGGGAGCCCTTTGCTATCCCTAGGAACTAGCTAGCTTCAGGGGGGGTAGGCTCTCCTCAGTCAGCAAGGTCTCTAACATCAGTGCATGAAGAATGCAGAGAATAAGAAAGTCTAGTCAATGTAACTGCCCCTGTAGTGCATGAATGCCAAACACTCTTGGAATCTAAGGCAACAGTGGGAGCTAAGTTCCTAACCCTCCTTTTCGGCACTGAGGTGAACTGCAGGGCCCCAGGCATGCTGCACAATTGCTGTGCTGCCAAACTAATTCTCTCGCCTTATCAATCCTTCTTTTTTTATATCAGGAAATAAAAGTTAACTGAAGTTGGTAAATTCAGAAGTGTGGACAAAATATTATTAGTTTGAAAGAGGAAAGTAACTCAGAAATTTCTGAAGTTAGTCTCAGAGGACTAACTTCAGAAATGGACAAAAGCATAGCATCTGGACTTGGTGTGCGAAGGCCTGGAGATGGGGACCATTGTGTTTCATTATAAATTTTACTTATTGATTCTTTAAAAATACATGAGCAGCTGTTATTTGAATTTTTAAGGACATGAATGTATACACTCAGTGAATAATAGTTCTTTCATTATGTTACTCTTACTTATTCTTTAGGGAAAAGCTAGTAATGACCTCACCTGCTCCAAACACAAAGTATATTTTCCTTTTGTTACATAATGAATCCAAGACTGACTGTTAATAGAGTCATATTATGTGGTCTGTATTCTCACCTAGAGCTTATTTTTTAAAAACCTACTGGTTCTTCATTTAACTTAGAAAAATATAGCTTGCTAGCTTTGTTTTGAACAGGCATTCACTTGCATATTCCTTTAAACAGTTGATTTTCCATTTCATCAGTTTCTGCACCTGCAGATTCTACCAATTATGGGAAAAAAGTATTAAGGACATTTTCAATTTACATTAAACACATATAAACTTTGCGTTTTTGCAAATTCTGAAACAATACAGTACAATAAGCATTCACATTGCATTAGGCATCATCAATAATCTGGAGATGATTTAAAAAATGGGAGCTGCAGTGATGTTCTCAATTTTCTGATCGAGGAGATTATAGGGCCACAGAATAAAGTGATCAATGATGTAGAGTGTGCCTAAGGAGAGTCACATGGAGAGAAAACATTCTCTCAGGCTTTCACAGAGAGCACATTGGCCAAGCAATGGTGATGACTCATCCACATGGCTGACACTCACAAAGGATCTACAAGCTGCAGTACAGGGTTTCAGGGTAAATCTTGAGGGGATTTGACTGACCTTGTCAGGTACAAAAGTTACATTTCTTGATATATAGGTCTTGCTTTATTTTTGTATTAGCCATCCAGCAGAAAAGTATAATACCGAGGTATAAAAAGTAAAGTCATATTAATATGCTGAGCTGTGAAAGGCTCAAGTCAACAACTTCTGACATTGCCAGTACTACAGGGTAGCTCACTACTATTATGGACTACTGGACTATATTGGAATGTTTTGCTGAATTTAAGCACCTACAATATTTAAATAGTAATGGAATACCAATCTCTGACAAAACTAAGCAAAAAAGGGGATACAAATGAATGGCCATTTGTATCTGTATATACAAAATAGTTAGGATAAATATACAGCTACTTTTCTTTTAATTCAGTGAGAAGAAAGATTTGTACTAATAGTGTTTGGATGGGATATCATGTCTGCATCTTGTACTATGAATAACCACTA